TTCGAGTATATTCCCACACGGTTAGTGTTACCGAGTTTGTATCTTTTTTCTTTGCTCGAGCGCGGCAAAAAAAAACGTCATCCTCCCGTTTTCTGTAAACGGTGGACCTGTAAGTCATTTGATATTAATAATAACAATCCTTGCATCTGTTATAGCGCCTTATCACGTCGTTGAGACGTCTCAAAGCGCTTCACGGAATATACTGTAAAGTGGATTGACTGTGTCATTTGTGGGCGAAATACTGCAGCCGATTGCGCACAGCAGTGTCCCACAAACAGTGGTGGATTAAGTGACCAATTTTTCTTAAGAGATCATAACCTTCGATTTTAAGGGCAAAATGGTCTGACAGGCTGAGACCAGGTGGAATTTCAAGTCTCCTGCCCCGCACCTGATCTTTTATTCTGAGCTCGCCTCCACTGGCTCCCCATCCCCCAGAGGATCGAATTCAAGGTCCTCATCCTCACCTACAAGGCCATTCACGGCCTCGCTCCCTCCTACCTCTCCGACCTACTATCCCCCTACCTACCTGCCCGTACCCTCCGTTCCTCTGGCTCCGGTCTGCTCCACATCCCCCGCCCCAACCGCCCTACCATCGGTGGTCGGGCCTTCAGCCTCTCAGCCCCGAGGCTCTGGAACTCCATCCCCCAGTGCCTTCGTCTTGCTCCCTACCTTTCCCCCTTCAAGGCCGGTCTCAAGACCTTTCTCTTCAACCGAGCCTTCAGCTCCGCTCTCGACTCTCTACCCCCTCCTCGCTCCCTCCCTTTCCTCCCCTCACCCTGACCATTTCCCCCCTGCTCGGGCCCCGAGCCAACTGTACAGCGCCTTGGGACGTCCTCCCGACGTGAAAGGCGCTCTATAAATACAATCTTGTTGTTGTTGTTGTTGTTATTGTCAACCACCAGGGGGCAGCTTTTCCAATTATCTTCCTTGGCTCCCTGTTGCTTTGTCATGTATATGAAGGTTAATTACGTTAAGAGTCATTTATATCTGCCATTAGATGACTCTCGATACAGCACAATGCTTTGAAACCCAAATAATAATGATGATAAACCTTACATTTGATGCAGCGCCTTCCACGTTGAGAGGACGTCTCAAAACGCTTCGCAGGATTTCATTGTAAAGTGTAGTGACTGTGTAAAACGCTCCCTAGGCCTTGCTCGTCCTCCAAAGAAAACAAGCCACGATCAATTCGCTTTAGAAGCTGAGGTTAATGCCCATTTTCCTCCGTCTGCAAAAACAGTCACTACGCTTTCTGCAGTGAACCCACGTGAAGCGTTTTGAGATGTCCTGCCAACGTGAAGGGAGCTGTGTCAAAATGCAAGGATTATTATTTTGGCTTTTGCACGTAAATCTAAGTGCGTTGAGATTGGGGGGGGGGTTTGAGGGTTGGGGGGGGGGGTTGAGGGTTGTGGGGGGTGTTGAGGGTTGGGGGGGGGGTGTGGAGGGTTGGGGGGGGTTGAGGGTTCAGGGTTGGGGGTGGACGAAGGGGAAATTCTTGAGCTAAACACATTTCAGTGAGGCGATTTGATTTGCCAGCAGACGTAATACTAACTGTTTTGACAGCAAGTCACGGCCTCAGTCATCTGCCTCCAGGTAACGCCAGCAATAGAGTTGAGGGCTGTTTTGTCCGCTGCACTCTGAAGGCTATCAACCTCTGCAGTGGTGCGCAGTAGAAATATGCTTCAGAAGTTTTACCGTTACGTGGGATGAAGATTGTTATAGCCGCCCGTGTCATTGAGAGGGATTTTCTTGCTGCACTTTAATGGTGTTGTTTTAACGTGTCTTGAATCCAGCGAGCAATTGCTCTGCGTGCTTTATCATTTGCAGCAGCCTTGTCTCGCTCGCTCCAGTTTCCACCGCAGCCATAAGGAGTCATTAAATAATAATACTCTCGGCCCTGACATGCTATTTTGATAATGTGTTTCAAAAAAAATGAATCGTTGGCGGAAATACGCGGCTGAGCTCAGCCAGTGTTCTTTAGGCCGGCGGGACAACGTTCCATATTCATATTATATTAATAATCATCCTTGCATTTGATACAGAGCCTTATCACGTCCTCGAGACCCCTCAAAGCGCATCAACGACAACAACGTGCACTTATAGAGCGCCCTCCACTCAGGGTAGCGTCTCAGAGCGATTAACCGTGGCGGTAGCCTGACTCCGAGAGAGGGGGTGGTGGGGGTGGGGGCCTGGGAAGTGGTCGTAAGCCGGTCGAAGAGTGTAGTTTCGTTGGCGAAAGGTGGCAGGCCATTTGCGCACAGCTCGTGGATTGAGTGACCAAATTATTATTATTATTTTTGAGGAGGTTATTATTCTTATCCCCAAAATATCTTCTGCTAGGGAAACAGAAGACGTGGGGAGTCAGGAAACTTGCCCGACACGTCTCGCCCCGCCTGGGAATCGAACCCAGGTCCTCTCGAGAGGTAGATCTTGAGACAGACCTTGAACGTTCAAGGCCATTCAATAAAAGTGACTGACATTCAATGTTCCAGGTTTTTTGCTGAGATGATAATAGTGCTAAACCTTACTCTTGTCAGCTGGTGGCTGGCATAGATAAACAGGGACAGCTTGCTGGCATACGGGGCAGATATAACCCTGCCCCCCTCCCACCTTGTGCCCACACTCCTGCCTGTACCACCCTCAGGCCTCACTAAAATAAACCCGGTCGATTCACAAGACTTTAAAAATCAGTCAATCTTCCCTTCTCGGCTAAAGCTTCGCCATTGGTTCAGACGAGCACCACAGGGACAAGCAGACAGTGACGTCTTAGTAGAAAAGAACACGTTGTGGCTGTGTCAAGGTCAATTTGGGATTTATTCGGTCCTGGTTTAGGTCCCGTCAATGGAACTGCGGAAAGCAGCGAAATTGACTGCACAGAAGGAGACCATTTGGCCCATCGTGTCTGTGCCAGCTCTTTTAAAGAGCAATCCTTTCAGTTCCCATTGAGCTGACCTCCCCCTCTCCTCTCCCCACTCCCCTCCCTCTCCCCCTCTCCTCCCTCCCCCTCAAAACGCTTCACAGGATACACGTTCGAGTGGATCGACTGTGTATTTTCGTGGGTGAAACACGGCAGCCAATTGACTTAACAACCGGGTTGCTGCTCGGTAAATAGAGACATGTAGAGAAAGGAAACTTGCTTAAGGAAATTGTAAAGGTTACGCTGGGAGGGGGTTTCGTCAGCAAATTATTGAAACCTGCTCATTAGAAACCTGTCTATTGACGCATAGATGTCAGCAAACGCTTTCTGTGCAAGTCAACCGGGGACGTACAGAGCAAGAGGACCCGGGTTTGATTCCCGGGCAGGGTTTGACTCCCAACGTGAAGGGTGCTACACAAATGTAATGTTGTTGCTGTTGTTGTCAGTCGATTGGCGGATCGCTTTTCTGGGGGTAATAATCCCTTCAAAAAAATATGCAATAACAATTCGGTCACTCAATCCAAGACTGTGTGTGGGACACTGCTGTGCTCAATTGGCTGCCGCGTTTCAATTTACTGTACAGCGTATCCTGTGAAGCGCTTTGAGACGTCTCGTAGACGTGATAAGGCGCTACATCAAATGCAAGGATGATTATTATTATTATTATTGAGGTTCCCGAACCGTAAAATATCTAATGGGAAAGGTCCTGACTGTTGGAAGATGTCTGACTTGCTCTGTCGACCTTTCTCTCGCCCTCTGGGACAGAATGCTATGGCTTTATACCCTCCCTGAGTCAGCACTGAGCTCATTCCAGTCCTATGCTGAGATGGTTATAGAATATGATGATCCTTGCATTCGATATAGCGTCTTATCATGTCTTCGAGACACCTATTGAAAGCAAAGCGTTTGGATGGATGGATGGATGGATGGATGGATAGACGGATGGATAGATAAGAGGGAGAGAGAGAGAGATGCTGTATTTGGGGAGACGGGAGTAAAAAAAAGGGTTAAAGGCAAGAAACTTGGCAATTATTGATCTCTTTCTCCCTGCAGGTCACAGCTAACGTAGCATAAATGCTTGCCTCTTTGACGATGGTAAACCAGCCAGTCACACAGAGAGAAAGAGAGAGAGAGAGAAAACACGAGACAGTTTTTCCTACATTGCAATTAAGAGCCGCATTTTGGGAGTGCAATTTTTTTTTGGGTGGGGGGGGGTTTAAACCGAAAATTTGTAAAAAAAAATTATAAATGCAGATTTTATAAATGTATAATCTCTTTTTTAAAAACTATTTCGCAATCGAATTCCAGCGAATGATTGTGCAATTATCAGCAATTGAATTCAACTGATAAAAGAATAAGAAATTGATAATGGGTTTGATAATTGGCTGAGTCAGCAGAAAATGCTGAGCAATAATAACATTAATAGTAATCCTGCACTGAGCACAGACAGTGAAGTGTATGAATGGAGACCTTTTTTTAATGGTTTGGGGTTGGGAACAGAGGAGAGAGAGAGAGAGAGCAGAGGAATACGAATAGAAATTGAATGATATTGTCCAGGGGAAATAAAAGGAACAGTGAGGTGGATGAATGTGTGGTGTGTGTGTGTGTGTATGTGTGTGTGGAGGGGAGAGAAATAGAATCAAATCATGTGATGTGATGCAGACAATTTTAACAGAGGGAGGTAGAGAGAGAGAGAGAGACACACAGACATATAACACACATCATCCTCAGCTGATGTGGTTGCTTTCCACACAAAACACCTTGATCCTTGATCAGAGACAGTTCTAACCCCAGCAAAAAAAAAAACCAGCTCTGCAAATAAAACCTCCTCTTTATTTATTCATTATTTTTCTTCCCCTTTTCCTTCTCTTCCCCCTTTTTCTCTCTTTCCTCTCCATCTCTCTCTCTCTTACCCCCCACCCCTCCATCCTTCTCAGCTGATCTTTGCCTTCCAAACAGACACGTTAATCTCAGAGGCATTTTTTTTACACACACCAGAACATTTTCCAACCTCTCTCTCTCTCTCTCTCCCTCTCCTTTTTTTTTTGGTGTGGTTGATTATTTTCCATCCTTTTTTTTTTCTCTCGTGATCTGTGGCAAAAGGAGAGAGGGTAAGTGGACTTTTCTCTAATGTGTGTTCAATGCATGAATTGGGATGGAGATAGGTGTGTGGATTGTCATCAACGTCTGAGATGTTCTTGTAACCTGTGAGAAAGATCCAGAGAGACCCAGAGACAGATCCAGAGGAGGTATAGAGGGAGAGAGAAAGAGATTGGGTCCATGTTAACACACTGCGTTTCAGCCACTGCAAAGCGTTCATGTGGCAGAGGTACTGTGTTGCCCCACTGGGGAGGGATGTTTGGGGTTCAGGGATGGAGGGGAAAGGGGGAAATGTTTCTTTATTTAATGGGGTGGAACCCCTGTTCTATTTCCATCTCACCTATTTTCCCCACAGATGTCAGACCCCCATCCATATGTTTGTATCACTGTGAACACTGAGCCACTAGAAGTCATCAATCCTGCTGGATCTCATTAAAATGGGATGGACTATATATCCTGTCATCCCCAACTACATGTCTTTCTTCTCACTCTATCTATCTTCTCACTCTCCCCTTCTCTCTTTCCTCTCCCTCTTTCCATCTCTCTTTCTCTCTCTCCTTTCCCCTCCCCTCTTTCCTCTTTCTCCCCTTCCTCTCTTTCCCTTTCTTTCCTCTCTCACAGTCACTCCATCTCTCCTCTTTTTCCTCTCTCTCTCTCTCTCTCTCTCCCCTTCTCTCCCTTTACTGTCCCTTCCTCTCTCTTTCCCCTTTCCCCCCTTCTCTTTCCCCTCTCTTCCCCTTCTCTCCCTCTCTCTCCCATTCTCTTTCCCTCCCCCTTCTCTCTTTCCTCTCCCTCTCTTTCCCCTTCTCCCCCTTCCCTCTTTCCCCCTCTCTCTCCTCTATTCCTCTCCCCCCTTCCATCTCCCCCACTTTCCCCTATCACAAGTTAGCTGTTCTCTGTCCATAATCCTCTGTAAGGTTTCAGGTTCCCTGACAGACACTCAGTCCTTTAAAGTCATGAATCAGATCTAGTGTGACATTCACAGTGTAATAACATTTACTTGAGATATAATATATATATGTACCGTACACAAAATGTGCTGTAAATGGTTATGTTTCTCAGTGGATGGTATTGCATTTTATAGATTCTTTCTGTATTTTGTTCCCCTTTTGGGTTTTGTGTGTGTGTGTGTGGGGGGGGTGGGGGGGGGTGGGGGGGGGACAATCTACACTGTAAACCCAACTGTTACTTATTAAGATTTTAATTATTAAAATGTGCAGCGGCCAGAACAGGAGAGAGAAGTAGGGCGGCAAAGTCAGGTGGTTGACTTAGTCTTAAGGCATTTAAACGCTAGATTCCAACTCCATCCAGTTAGCGAGTGAGTGTGAGCACCAGCTGACTGTGAACTCCTGATAACTCGTCACTCCCGGGGGGGGGAAATGGGGCTCAGTGACTAGTTATCCAGAGTGGCGAGTCAGGCAACAACAACTTTCTGCCGGGTAGCGTCTCGGAGCGCTTATGTGACGAAATGTGGCCGGGATATTGACAGCGAGAAGACTTGAGTGGTAGTGACTAGTTAAACTAGGGTCGAGTTATCAGGACTGTATTTGGAGGTTACCTCCGACTGTCAGTCAGGGACATGCAATAGGCAGCTCAGACGACGAGGGCTGGGGTAAGGGCTGGGCTATTGCATTCCCTTCATTACTGTGTACATTTCACCGTCATTTCAAGTGGGGAGGAGGGTTTACTGCGCTGTGAAGCATTCAAAGACTGGAGTCAGACGATAAGCGTGTGATCAGATCCAGATTAATCCTGGATTAGACACTTGTCATTCCTTGGCAGAAATCAGAGTTTAAAAAAAGATGTTCGTGTGTGTGTGTGCGTGTGTGTGTGAGCCAGCGAGTGTGAGCGAGTGTGTGTGCGTGTGTGTGTGAGCCAGCGAGTGTGAGCGAGTGTGTGTGCGTGTGTGTGTGTGAGCCAGCGAGTGTGCGTGCGAGTGTGCGTGTACATTGTGAGCCGGCGAATGTGTGTGTGAGCCTGCGTATGAGTGTACGTGTGTGTGTGTGTGTGTGTGCGTGTGAGCCAGTGAATGTGAGTGTGTATGAGGCAGCGAGTGAGAGGAGAGTGTGTGTGTGTATGTGAGGGTGTGCGTGTGTGCGCGCGGGCCAGCATGGAATCTTTAACGACCACCCGACCAGCCACAGACCGATGGTGTGTGTGTGCGTGCGCGTGTGTCAGTTTAATGTCTCATCCGAAGCATGGCAGCACTCTCTTTCCCCCCCGCCTACCCCACCCCGCTCCTTACGCGCTGTATTGCGGACTAACCCTGGCTGAGACAATTTCTCCCTTGAATAAAGACAGAGATATAATCGATGTGAAATTACATGTAAGACTATTAATAGTTAATGTTCCTGGCACCTCACTGCATTTCCTGTTGCCATCAGGGGAGCTGCCTGCGTCTAATCTCCGAATCGACCCAATCCTTTCCCCTCTTCGCTGCCATCAGTGTCGGGTGGTCGCGCTCTCATTTCTCAGTCAGAGGTTTGCGGGTTCAAGCCCCACCCCGGGACTTTGAGCTCAGATGATTGTGGGAAGTTAACACTCGCTCTGGGTCTGTGCCCTGTTCAGACGGACGTTAACGATCTCTCACAGCGCTGTTCGAAAAGAGAGAAGAGAGTTTCTTTTTCTCTCTCTCTCTCTCTCTCTCTCTCTCTTTCCCGGTGTCCTGGCCGACGAACCCCTCTGATAAAATCGGTCGCTCACCTGGTGGCTGTTTGGGGTGCGTCGCTGCGCGCAAGTTGGCTGCGGTGTTCGCCTCCGAAATACACAGTCACTGCATTTCACAGTAGATCCCGCGAGGTGCTTTGAGAGGTCCTCCTGACGTGAAAAACGCTTAATACATGATCGGTATTATTTATTAATGTCCGGTATGGTGTACAGTACTCCTGTTGGTATTTAAATCCCATCTGCTCATTTCCCTGTTTAATCTTGTCCTGATCCCATTTGCCAAACTCCCCCCCCCCCCCACCACCACCACCACCACCACACGCACACGGAAACATCCCCGGGTAACACACGCAGACCCTGTTTTTTGTGTAGAAAGAATGAAATCGCCCACAATCTCGTCCTTTGCGAATTGAAATTGCATTGTCGTTTTTGGCAGATATTTGTGTTATTTGCACACAGGATGCTGTCTTGTTTTGTGGTGAACATTGAACAGCACGGGGAGAGTGGGGAGAGAGAGAAAATTGCCCCCTAAAGAAGAGAGAGGAGCAGAATCTAGGTCTCTGGGCATCAAGAGTTTTATAATAATAGTCCTTGCATTTGGTACAGCACTTTTTCATGTCGTCGAGACGTCTCAAAGCGCTTCACAGAATATACCGTAGAGTGAATTGACTGTGTATTTTATGGGAGAAACATGACAACCAATTGCACACAGCAGCGTCCCACAAACACTCGTAGATTGAGTGACCAAATTATTATATATATATATATTAGATGGAGAGAGAGAGAGAGAGAGACACAGACAGATACACACGCACATAGATACACGCACAGACACAAACACACACACACACACCCTCCCCTGTGTGAGGGATAAATTGCACGCTGAGCTGAGCTGAGCTGAACTGACAAGTGGGCTGACGGGACTGGCAGCTAGCTGACTGACGGCGTTCAGTAATAATTAATAACAATATCAATAATAAATTCATTTAACAATTCTTGCATTTGACACAGTGCCTTGCCGTCTGTTCGAATCACCTCCAAGCCGTCTTCGTAGGATTTCGCTGCAAAAAAAAAGCACATTGTGGTGAGCAAACCCGCTAACCAGTTTGCGCATAGCAACTTCCCGTAAATAACCCGGTGGGGGGTAGGGGGAGCAGAGTGTTATACGAGTCAGGACACCGAGAGAATCTCTCTTCCCAGTAACGCGTAACAACCCATTTAATTTGGAACGTGTGAACCCATAACTTGTCCTATTTATTTCCTTTGTCATCATGTGTTGTTTTTCTTTTGTTGAATAATTTATCCGCTGTGTGTCTGCAAACTCCAGTACAGCAATTTGCTGCCGGCAAACACGTGCGTGGACCTGTTTTATTTTCTCTCCCTTCCCTCCGCGCGTTCATTTCAGTCATTAACTGTGTCAATATTTTGCTGTTCCATTTTTTATTTTTCTTCGCTAATTCCGCCCTGAACACTTAACTCTTTGGCTGTACTTTTCTGAGCACTTTTTCCGCATCCCTCCTCTCGCTCTGTTCCTTTGCCCCCACTCCCACCTCTCACCCTCTCTCCCCCTCTCTCTCTCTCTCTCTTCTGCCACCCTCCCCTTTTTTTTTAAACCACCCCCTCCTGCTCACAATCCGCCACTGTTTGTGGGACACTGCTGTGTGCAATTGGGCTTCCGCCTTCCGCTCGCAAAGCTCACAGCGAATTCACTTTACAGTATACCCCATGAGACGTCTCAACGGCGTGATAAGGCGCTGTATCAAAATGCAAGGATTATGATTATTATTATTATTATTATTATTAGCGTCGAGCTATTTTCTTCAGTGAGTCCGAGAGTTGACGGCAATGCTATTCGCTGCACAGTTCAGACAGCACAGCCTGAATCAGCCATCCGGAGAAATCCGTGTGACGGATTGACAGTCCTTTATGGGATTAACAGGCGTTCACATCATCTCTCATTGCCTGTTATCTGTGTATCTGTTATTCACTTTCTCAAAGGCTGTGTGACTAGTCAGCTGGACTCTATGCGTCGGCCTGGCTGCGAGGGGAGCGCTCACATACATGAAGGAGAAGGGAATGACAGAGGCTGAACAGGGATGAGACGAGGCTGGGTGGGGGAGGGCGGCCGGGCGGGCGGGCGCGGAGTATAAACCCCGGCACGGACTAGTCGAGTCGAGTGGTCTGTTTCAGCTGCTGTTAAAAGCGGTTAAAGGCCCTCCGTACCACAAAACAGTCACACCACTTTACAGTACACCCTGCGAAGCGCTTTGAGAGGTCTCAATGATGCGATGAGCGGTTAAGTTATTAAATAATTTATTATTGTCTGAAGGTTGTGGTTTCAAGT